TAATGAGCTGCATAGGTCTTCTGGGATCGATTGATTCGTAAGTGTTCCGTAGGCTGCGTGGGGCTATTATGCGTCGAATCAGCTTCAGCTTTTCTGAGAGCCACTTTGTAATTGCGGGATAAGACGAGTTGCCCGTGTTCAATATTAGCCACACAGGACGGTTGAGTCGGTGGATCTTTTGTGCGTATCTGGGGAGAGGACACACGCAGTCGGCTTACAGGATTCGGACTCCCATGCACTAAGAAACTATTGGTATTACAGCTTCTGAGGGCATTTTGTGAGTTTGACTTTTATGACTTCAGTTGGATCCCTGTTTTGCATGTCTTCTGAACTTATGATAATATTACAGTACAGGTCTGAAGGCGAATACTCCATAAACTTACGTTCGCCAAATATAATTTCACCGTTTGTCAATCTCCTCGGAAATTAATGGCAAATTCTGAGTAAATCAATCGAAATCAACTTTTAAGGGACTCCTTCCGAAGTTCTTAATGCATATTTGGAGCGAACCCCAGCAACTACAACGGAGTAACTGCGCAATAACCGTAAGTTACTGGCCCCAAAATGAAACTCAATGGTTATCAATGTGAACTATAAGTGGTAGGGACAAATCGCGGGACGCTGTAATGACCACTTCCGGTTTATTTCCCGTCAACAGTCAGCCATACCGCAAATGCGGTGTTTTGAGGATCCAGGTCTCGAATCCACTTCATTGCCTTATTAAGCATTTAACAGTTCGTTTATTGAGTTATCAACTAGCCATTCTATCGACTACGGTCAGAAGAGTTATCCTTTGAGGTTCGGAGAATAAGCGCGAGCTGGTTACTTGCATTTTTACTATCACTGCCCGACTGATCGCCCGTGAAGATTCTGAACCAGAACTTTGGATCTGTGTACCATCTCGAGACCAGCATTGATCGTCGAACACTGTTTATACGGGAAGTGGGAGAGACTGTCGCATACGTAGGGGTTACATCAGTTAGCATATCTACAGAAGGCATCTCACTCAAAACATGTCGACCACTTCCTAGCAAGGGGAATGGATCTAAATGGTGCTTCGGACAGACTAACTGTGGCCTATCGCCATTTCTACTAGTTCCTGAATCCCCTTGTAGAATAAAAGTCGTCCATTTAGATGCTTGACAAAGATGTTGTTCCGACTGATCTGCGTGGTATTACATGACGCGCCTCGCTATCTGCAGTGGCTTACGAACGCAGACCTCGCAGGCGCGAAAGAATACAGAGGCTTAGAACACTGTCAAAAACTTCGAAGTCACCTTAATTCCAACATGGCGCAAATCTATTACCGTCGAATATTCTGAAGCTGGATGTTACTTTTGATAACATGCTGTCGGTATTGCTTTAAAAATAATCTCCCTGCGTTTAGAAGCAGAATAGCGTAGAGCGAGCAGAACACCATATTAACAAAACTAGCTGTCTCATCTTGGCAGTGATCGAGCACAGGTCTCCGGTCTGAGAAGTCTGTAGCTTTTGGGTCAAGGGTAATTTGACTTCTTGTCAACATTGTCTTCAGAATACAAAACACAGAAGAGCTAAGGTTTGTTTCTATAGGTTTATTTGTTTCTGTATAAACAACGGACTGTCGGGAGAATGCGAACAATGTGTCCGAGTTACTGAGAGGCAGCCTAGATCCAGTATCCGGGTAATTACACAAGCCACCCCTGAACCTGCCACCTTACAAAAAACAGAGACCATGATCGACCCCCAGGTCCAAAACGACTTCAAGTCAGGGCTCAGTCCACTTAGTAAATTTTCCAGCAAATTTCTTCACACGTCTAAATAAATCACGACAATCGCCTTCTGGGGGGAGCGAGGGGCTCCGACATGTGCAATCTCGGTAGCAACCAGCAATTCAGAAATGGAGACTACGGTTACCAATACCGCTCGACAAATGTGAGAGGTGAGATCTGCTTTCATAGGATTCAGAAAGGCGCTGCTGAAATGCATCCGACTATCAGAAGACGCCACCGGGGAAAAAGGTAGGAATCGACCGGTAGTCGTCTTCGGAAGAAAAAAACGAAAGCAAAAGGATAATTGTGCGCAATTTGCAATCATACGCCAATGTGTTTGACGAATAACTAATATCAGAAAACGCGGAAATCACCTAGCTGCTATCGATACCTCTGTGTATAAAGTATTAATGATCTTCTGGCATTGTAGAATATAAATGCATTTAAAAACGCCAGGTGGCCGCACAATAAATGGCAGAATGCAAGACCTAATATGCCTGTACAGAAACGGAGACCAATGGTTATGCTTATGACAAAACCCCTGAGAGTAGCTTAAAAGGGATAGTCAAAACGCCCTCGATTGGAACGTTGAGCTTGCAGAGGAGCATCGATCGGAGGGCCGAGTCCAGAAAAGAACAGCCAAGAAAAAACGCACGTTTTATATTTTTAGGTGTCATGAAAAAACATGATGACGTATGTACAAATGCGCAGACATTGACGGCCCTCTGTTGCATCAAGCTACAAAGCGAAAAACAGACTTTAATATGGCTGGGATTTATTAAGATACTACATTTTAAATATTGAAAGGCACGTACCGGAATCTAATCATCATCGGAGTCGTCGCTAGAACTCGACGGTGGAGGGGGCTTCTTCTTTTGTCTATATCAATGTAAAACGTCTTGGGTAAACCAAAAACTATCCAATAAGGCAAGTGAAAACAAATGTGCAATGTGCGGGGGCGCCAGCACACTATCCGGGAAAACAAGGCAATATGTTTGCTGCTGAAAGTAGACCAGGAGAAACCAACAACATTACGTTTTGGTGAAGATTTTATACAACAAAATCGCCATCATTCACCCGCGAGCGACGGGCTTTAATACAATTACATTGGGCAGTCAAACTTACGGGAAGCTCTAGACACGGTCAAATCGAAGTATGGAACTAGTGTGATGTGGGGTTGAGCAATGAAAACGCTACGAGTGGAATTCTCAGGCGTATAAAGAGAACTTGCAAGAAAAACACAGTGAAACGAGCAATGAGAGGACGTACGGTGGAGGTTCATCGGAGTCAGAATCATCCGTCTCTTCGGCAACGTTCAATTGCTGTTTAGGTCTAAGTGGAGAATTAATATTGTGATGTAATTTTACTTCTTTTTAGCCGATTCATGTTCGTTGCTTGAAGCAGCAGACGTTGCAGTTTCAGCAGTTGTATTGCTAATAGGCTTGCCGAATTTGCTCAAAAGGCCTTGAGCGATCATCTTTTTGCGCTCGGTGGCTACGGGACCAAGCCCCCATTGGCGTGGGTAAAGGTCACGATCCATAATGACACGCTTTAGTTTGGCGACGAGACCGTGGTCACAGGTTGCTATAGTAGCCGTCGTCATCTGAGCGATTGCTAGAAAGAGGAACTATTAGGGGTTGCTTGCAGACGTACCAAGAGCAATAGCTTCGCCCTTTGTGGTCATCAGGACAATCTCGTCATTCACGTTGATGCCGTTGTCATAACGCAGAACTCCAGGCAGCATTAGCTTGGCACCGAAACACAGGGCACTGACCTATGGGTATGGTCTTAAGTTTCTAAATGAAGCTTACCGTTGAATCCTTGACCATTATTCTCTTGTGTCCTATTAGTAACTTTTCCAGTGGCATGATCACTCTCCTTAAATACTTCTCGTCATTGCGATTTTCGTGAAGCCATTTGGCGTCCAGAACGTCATGCATAGTTACGAGGTTGTCCTCTTCTGTTAGAATTCCGGAGCGGATTCGCCTTAGCTCTTCCATTACACCACCACATCCTAACATGAGACCAAGATGGACGCAATGAGTACGAACATAAGTTCCGGCTTCACAATCTAGTTTTACAACTCCGAGCCCCTTCTCCGTATCATACTCCAGAAGTTTGCTCTCGTAGATCGTTCGGATACGGAGTTGCCTCTTTACTGCAGCAATTAGAGGTGGGCGTTGGAAGAGCGCACCCCGCAGCTTTTCGACAGTCTGCAAAAGCAATAAGGCAAAATGACCACTACCTGCTGGACG